AGTCAACTTGGCAGTACTTTTTCAATCATAGAATTTGTATTTGGTGAATGTGTCCTCCTCCTCCTTTTACCATTTATGTATTATGACAATTTTACTTTCTGTTTCTCTCAAAGCACCCCTTTTTCTTCCACAGACTTTGTTCTTCCCTCTGCCTGGAATGTCCTTTCCCCATTCCTTTGGTAGCTTTTATCATTCACATCTCAGCCTAAATGACATGTTCTCACTATGAACTACACAGAATAAACCTATGTAACATTAACCCATACCTAGCAATCTTAGAATCCTGTTACCCTAACTTTTATTTTATCTTGGTCTAGTTATATACTTGACATTATTTGAAATTCTCTTATTTGTTCAGTGTTTGTTATCGCTAGCCCATTAAAATGTTAAGTTTCATGACAGTAAGGATATTATCAGTCCTTAACTGCTTTATTCCCAACACTTAGAACAGCACTTTCATTACGTGATAGGCACTTACTATCTTGCTATGATGAATCAGTATCATGTACAGCCATTTTAGAAACTGTCTTAAAACCAGAGAGTCCTTTTGGCATAAGAGAATGCAGTTGACCCTTGAACAACATGGGTTTGATCTGCACAGGTCCACTTAGACGCAGATTTTTTTTTATAGTACAGTACTGTAAATATATTTTCTCTTTCCTTATGATTTTCTTAATAAATTTTCCTTTCTCTAGCTTACTTTAAGAACACAGTATATAATACACTCAACATACAAAATATGTTATCAGTAATGCTTTCAGTCAGCAACAGGCTATTAGTGATTTAGAGGACTCAGAAGTTATGCATGGTTTTTCAACTGCACAGGTTCGAAATCCAACCCCTGTGTTTTTCAAGGGTCAGCTGTGCTAGTATAAAATGCATATGTTCTTTTAAATGAAGCTTTTACTATAGAACTAAATGTATAGCACTATAATCTTCAGAGTACATTAAGACCTCTCCCTCAGTACAGACCAAAATGTTTTAGGTAAAACTCTAAGATGACAAGGGTTTTTTTTTTTATTCTTATTTTAAAATAGAGCATAGTTGACACAATGTTACATTAGTTTTAGGTGTACAGCATAGTGCTTCAACAGCTCTGTGTTATGCTATGCTCACTCTAAGTATAAATACCATCTGTCACCATGCAGTGCTATTATGGTACCATTAACTGTATTCCCTATGCTTTTATTTTTGTGAATTATTCATTCCATAACTGGAAGCCTGTATCTCTCACTTGACTTCACCCATTTTGCCCACCTCCCCCTCCACTAACCTTGTCTCTGAAAACCATCAGTTTGTTCTGTGTATAGGTCTGATTCTGCTTTTTGTTTGTTTATTCATTTTTTGGGTTCCGCATATAAGAAAAATCGTATGGTATTTGTCTTTCTCTGACTTATTTCACTTAGCCATATCTCTAGGTCCATCCATGTTGTCACAAATGGCAAAATCTCACCCTTTTTTGGCTATGGACACTTAGGTTGCTTCTGTGTCTTAGCTATTGTAAATAATGCTGCAGTAAACATTGAGGTCCATATGTCTTTTCATATTTGTGTTTTTGTTTTCTTTGAGTGAATACCCAGTGATGGAATTATTGGATTATGTGTTATTTCTATCTTTAATTTTTTGAGGTACCTCCGTACCATTTTACACAGTGGCCGTACCAATTTATATTTCTACCAACAGTGCACAAGGGTTCCTTTTTCCCTGCATTCTTGCCAACACTTGGTATTTCTTAACATGGCAAGCTTTATCTCACACCATACTCACTTGGATAGTATTTTAGGACAGAGCCTTGTTCGTCTAAATCCCACACCATATTAGAATAAGCCAATGTTGTAAAAAGTCTCCTAAAAAATTCTCATTTCAGTGAACTAATCTTAATTGCTTTGGTTTATTTGTAATTATTTAATGACTATGAAGATTGTAACAACTGTATTAAATGTCATAATAAAAGAAATATGTTTTTTAAAATTTTGTACAAAAACTTACCATCACTATGCATAACATCTATTTGTATTTTTAAACTGTTATCTGTATGATAAATTATAAATAACTTTCAGTACTGAATCCAATCTGAGTACTTTAAAGAGGGTCCAAATTACCGGTGTTAGAAATAAAAAGGAAATATCACCACAGATTCTGCAAATATCAGGAGGATTAAAATGGAATATTGTAAACAACTTATTCATATGTAACTGTAAATTTGATAACTCAAAAAAAACACCCAAAAACAAAAACAAAAAAAACTTACCAAAACTAACAAGAGAGAGAAATCTGAATAGCCCTTTATCAAAGAAATTGTGAATTTGTTATCAAAGACTTTCCCACAAAGAAATGTCCAGGCCCAGGGCACCTGGATGGTTCAGTGGGTTAAGCCTCTGCCTTTGGCTCAGGTCATGATCTCAGGGTCCTAGGATTGAGCCCCCCTATCGGGCTCTCTGCTCAGTAGGGAGACTGCTCTCTATCTCTCTCTCTCTCTGACTGCCTCTCTGCCTACTTGTGATCTCTCTCTCTCTGTGTGTCGAATAAATAAATAAAATCTTTAAAAAAAAAAAAAAAAAGAAAGAAAGAAAAGAAATACCCAGGCCCAGATGGTTTTACTGGTGAAATCTATCAAGCATTTAGGAAAGAAGAAATGCCAAATTTTCACAAACTCTTTCAGAAAATACAAGAAAAAGGAACAGATCCCTCTCATAAGAACAGCATATCCCTGATAACTAAAACTTGGCAAAGTATAACAAGAAAAATAAATTATAGACCAGCTTTCATCATGAACAAAGACACAGAATACCTAATCCGATAGAACAAAACACATTCATTATATACTATATAAAATAATGCACCAAAATCAAGTGATTTTGAGATTTATGGCAAAGGTATAACAAGAAAAATAAATTATAGACCAGCTTTCATCATGAACAAAGACACAGAATACCTAATCCGATAGAACAAAACACATTATATACTATATAAAATAATGGACCAAAATCAAGAGATTTATGCAGACAATACAAAATTTGTTTAAAGACTGAAAATCAATCAGTGCAGTCCAGTGTATTAACAAAATAAAGGAGAGATCAACATGATCCTATCACTACATGCTTACAAAATACTTAAGAAAATAAGCACTTTATAATAAAACTGAGCAAAGTAGATATTGAAGACAACTTTTTCAATCTGATGAAGGGCATTTATAAAAAATTTAAAGGTGGCACCATGCTACAGATCAAATATAGAATTCTGTCCCTTTATGATCAGAAACAAGGCAAACTGTTTGCTTCTCTCTTCTGTTCAACATTTTACTGAAGATTCTAATAATAGCAATACAAGTGGGGGGGATAAAAAGATTGGAAAGGAAGAAGTAAATCCAACGTTATTCACAGATATCAATAAGAAAAGGAAAGCTGCTAGAACCAAAAGCAAATTTAGGAAGTTCTCAATACAGAATGTCAGTATGGAGAAATCAGTTGTATTTCTACATACTAGCAGCAAATAGTTGGAAAATGAAATTAAAATTGGTTCTCCTTTGGATGGTATCAGATAAAGTAGAAATAAATTTAACAAAAGCATTCACCAAAAGCTTCAGACATTGCCAGTAGAAATTCAAGGAAACCTAAATAAATGGAGGAATATGCCATGTTAATGGTAAGAAGATTCAGTAGTGTAAAAATGTCAGTTCTTCCCAAATTGATCTAAAGACTTAACTTCCCAAGCAAAATCCCAGCAGGCTTTTTTTGTAGAAATTAACAAGCTGATTTTAAAGTATATATGTAAAAAAAAAAATAAATAAAGGACCTAGAACACTCAAATCAATCTTGAGAAACAGGAGCAAATCTGGATAACTCACACTGCCTGACTTTAAGACTTACTACAAAGCTACAATAATGGTGACACTGTGATATTGATCTAAGGATGGGTAAGTAGATCAGTGGAAGATAATAAAGAATCCATACATGGTTGCTTAATTCTCCATAAAGTCACCAGCTCAGTTCATGGGAAAAGAAAAGTCTTTTCAACAATTGAAACTAGAACAATTGGATATGTATATAAAAAAAAAAAAAAATTAGTTATAACCCCAGCCTCAGACCATATATAGACTATACCTTGGAGATACCACAAATTTAGTTCCAGACCACCACAATAAAGCAAGTCAAATGAATTTTTTTGTTTCCTAGTGCATTTAATCTGTTAAGTGCAATATCATTATGTCTGAAAAGATGAATGCACATACTTTAATTAAAAAATACTTTATTGCTAAATAGTGCTAACCATCAGCTGAGCTTTTAGTGAGTGGTAATCTTTTTTGCTACTGAAGGGTCTTGTATCCATATTTATGGCTGCTGATTGAACAGGGTTGTGCTTACTGGAAGTTGGGCAATTTCTTAAGACAGTGGAGTTTGCCTCATTGATTGACTCTGTCACAAATGATTTCTTTCTAGTATATGATGCTGTTACTTCTTTGAAAATTGGAGTCAATCTTCTCAAACCCTGCTGACTACTTTATCAGCTAAGTTTATATAATATTCTAAATCTTTTGTTGTCATTTCAACAATCTTTTCCAGGAGTGGATTCCATTTCAAGAAACCACTTTCTGTGCTCATTCATAAGAATTCTTAATCCATTAAAGTTTTATCATGAGATGGCAGCAGTTCAAATATAAAAATAATGAAAAAGCTTGAAATATTACGAGAATTACCAAAATGTGACACAGAGACACAAAGTGAACAAGAGTTGTTGGGAAAGTAGCTCCAAGAGCCTTGCTCAATACAGGCTTGACACAAATCTTCAATTTTAAAAAATGCAGTATCTACAGGGGCGCCTGGGTGGCTCAGTGGGTTAAAGCCTCTGCCTTCAGCTCAGATCATGATCCCATGGCCCTGGGATCGAGCTCCGCATCAGGCTCTCTGCTCAGCGGGAAGCCTGCTTCCCCCTCTCTCTCTGCTTGCCTCTCTGCCTACTTGTGATCTCTGCCTGTCAGATAAATAAATAAATAAATAAATCTTTAAAAAAAATTAAAAATGCAATATCTACAAAGTGCAATAAAGCAAGGTGTGAAATGAGAAAAACATGCAGCCAAGAATACATATCCAGCTAGGCTATCATTGAAAATAGAAGGAGAGATTAAAAGCTTCCAGGACAAACAAAAACTGAAAGAATTTGCAAACACCAAGCCAGCTCTACAGGACATATTGAAAGGGGTCCTCTAAGCAAAGAGAGAACCTAAAAGTAGTAGATCAGAAAGGAACAGAAACAATATACAATAGCAGTCACCTTACAGGCAATACAATGGCACTAAATTCATATCTCTCAATAGTTACCCTGAATGTTAATGGGCTAAATGCCCCAATCAAAAGACACAGGGTATCAGAATGGATAAAAAAACAAAACCCATCTATATGTTGCCTACAAGAAACTCATTTTAAACCTGAAGACACTTTCAGATTTAAAGTGAGGGGGTGGAAAAGAATTTACCATGCTAATGGACATCAGAAGAAAGCAGGAGTGGCAATCCTTATATCAGATCACTTAGATTTTAAACCAAAGACTATAATAAGAGATGAAGATGGACACTACATCATACTCAAAGGATCTGTCCAACAAGAAGATCTAACAATTGTAAATATCTATGCCCCTAACGTGGGAGCAGCCAACTATATAAACCAATTAATAACAAAATCAAAGAAACACATCGACAATCATACAATAATAGTAGGGGACTTTAACACTCCCCTCACTGAAATGGACAGATCATCCAAGCAAAAGATCAACAAGGAAATAAAGGCCTTAAATGACACACTGGACCAGATGGACATCACAGATATATTCAGAACATTTCATCCCAAAGCAAGGTGTGTCTGTATAAAAATGTATTTGAGATAGATTATAGATCTAAACATAAAACTAAACCCATTAAGCTTCTGGGAAAAAACGAGAGAATATACTCAGGATCTAGGATATTCAGAGTTTCTTAGGGCACTAAACAATAACCACAAAAGAAAAAAATTAAGTTAGTCTTCATCCAAATCAAAAACTTTTATTCATTCAGAGATCCATTAAGAAAATGAATAGTCAGACTACAGGATGGGAGGAAATATTTTCAAGCAGATATCTGACAAAGAACTTGTATCCAGAATAGATAACTCAACAACTTAATAATTTAAAGTTAAGAAGAATTTAATTCTTCCCTTCCAAGGAATTCATCTGAGTGAAATATTAAAATATGTCCTCTAAAAAACAAAAGAATTGTGCAAGAAAGCTTATGGCAGAAATTTGCTGTACAACATAGTGCATATAGTTAAGAGTACGGTGTTGTACACTTAAAAACTTAAGAAGGTACATCACATGCTAAGTGTTCTTATACCAAAGGAGAAAAGAAACACAAATCTTTTGGTAGTAATAGATATGTTTATAACTTTATGTATCTCAGATGTATGCATATGTCCAAATTCCAGATGTATGCATGTGTCCAAGTGTTTTGTATATTAAGTATACCTTAGTAAAGCTAGAAAAAGAAAATTTATGGTAGCTTGATTCACACTAATCACTAATTCACACTAATCAAAAACCAGAGACAGTGCAAACATCTGTCAGCAAGTGAATGGATAAATAGTGATATATTTATACAGTGGGATACAGCTCAACAATAAATAAGAACACACACTACTTATGTACAAACATGAATGAATCTCAAAACCATTATGCAGAGTAGAAGGTGACAGCACAAAAGAATACATACCATTTGATGCAATTTATTTGAATATCTAAACTAATTGAACTCATTAAGATGGGAGAAAAAACTCAAACTCTGATATTTTCTTTGTGGGAATGCAGAGAGGAAGGACTGACTGGAAAGTAACACAAAGAACTTTCTGAGAAATCAGAAATGTTCTATTCCAGGATAGGAGGATGGGTTACTCAGGTATATCCATTTGTCAAAATTGTGTTGCTATGATTTGTACATTTAGTGTATATAAAGTTTTCCTCAAAAGCTATAAGTGAGGGGTGCCTGAGTGGCTCAGTTGTTAAGCATCTGCTTTCCGCTCAGGTCATGGTCCCTGTGTCTGGGATTGGGGCCTGCATCAGGCTCCCTGCTGAGCCAGGAGCCTGCTTCTACCTCTCCCACCCCCCTGCATGTGTTCCCTCTTTGTCCCTCTCTCTCTGTCAAATAAATAAATAAAATGGTTTTTGGTTTTTTTTTGAAAAGTGCTGTAAATGATAACAATTGAAAAGGAACCTGGGAATAGGTAGAAGGATAAATCAAGAATGGCAGAGTACTGATAAGTTGAAGCTAAAGAATGTTTGGTTTATTACAGAATTCTCTTTACTTCGCTATGTTTAAAATTTTCCATTGTAAAAATTTTAAAAGGAGACACAGTAAGCAAAGGGAGAAAGGTATTGAGTTCAGCATTATATATTTGACTATCAACTTAAAAAATAAGGATAAAACAAATGTAAAACTTTTCAACACTTTTTCCCTAAAATAATTGTGGGGGAGATGTGGAAAAGTTTGAGGGACTACGAGAACTAGAGATAAACCATTTGCCTAAAACAAACATGATAGAGGCAGCAAAACTTGAGATAATTAATTTGGAATTTAGTTGGAGCAATTTTCAAACTATTAATAAAAAAGTAGCCTAGAAAAAAAATGAGTGAAGGTTTGTCTCCTAATTCATTTGAATCCATAGTTTCAGATTTTGTCTACATTTAATTTAAAAAAAATTTTTTTTTTAATTTGCTTTCCATGTGAGGATTGGTACAAATGACTCTGAAAGGTAGGTTTTTAAATGTATTCAGTCTCAGGGTACTATTGACAATTTTATATATGGCAGAACTGTAGGTTTTTAAATTATTTTGATGCTTGGGGCACCTGGATGGTTCAGCTCAGAGTCTGCTTGGGATTCTCTGACTCTCCCTATGCCCCTCCCCCTGCTCCTGCTCTCTCGAGCTCTCTCACTCTCTCAAATAAATAAAATATTTTTAAAAAATTATTTTGATGCTTTACAAATGCATAAGGGGGAGAAGACCATTTTTATATGGTATAAGTAGCTTCTGAAGAGCTATATACTTGAGGGGCACGTGGGTGGTTCAGTTGGTTAAGTGACCAACTCTTGATTTCCTCTGAGGTCAGGATCTCACATGATCTCAAGATTATGAGATCGAGCCCCAAGTCAGGCTCCACTCTGGGTGTAGAGCCTGCTTAAAGAGTGTTTGTCTGTCTGTCTCTCTCTCTAAAAGAAAAAAAAAAAGATTCTCCCTCTTCCTCTACCTCCACCTTTTAAAAAAAAAAAAAAAGGGCTATATACTTGAAAATGTGGCCGTAAACTAGCAGTGATACAAAAAATTAATTATGAATCAAAGTTCCCTTGAAGAATGACGGTAATCTTGAAGTTTTTATAGAGTAATGTCTTTGGAATATGTATTACGTAAACCAGCTTTCTTAAGAGGAAGAAAATGATTCAAATTTTAAGAATGTAAGTACTCCTTTAATTCTTACGATTTAAGGAAAAAAAAGTACAATATTAGCTATAATGCAGAATTTAGGTTGCTACTTAACAATTAGTATATATTTTATAATGAAAACTTAGCATCTGTTTCTTAGGCTATTTTGAACAGTCCAGTAGCCACACAGCTGAATTCATGTTTGCTATCTTTTTAGCTACAGAAGATCATAAGTAAACAAGATGACTTGAAGACGACAACAGCTAATGAAACAGAATGCCAGGTATGTGCAAATAAACGGAGTATTTCCAGACAGATGATATTTACAGTAGTTTCTCTCTTCTGTTTGTCAAATAAATATTCTCACATCATTGGGAAAATTATCAGTAACTTCATTTTTCTAAATATTTTGAATAGATGTGCTACATTCACATGGTCCAAACTTCAAAAGATTCAAAAAGAGTATGTGCAGAGGGCAGCATTTTCATCCCAGTCACCCAGTTCTCCCTGGCAGTGAGTGCTTTAAGTGTCCCATATATTTGCCCAGAGATACCTCATGTGTGTATAAGTGTATCTGTAAAGAAGTAACTAAATACATCCATGTGTACTTTTTTCTACTTTTCTGCAAGGAGTAGCACAGTGCATTGTTTCACACTCTCCCGTTTTTTCTTCAATATGTCTGAATATCTCCTTTTTAACAGTGTCATAGTGCTTTCTTGTATGATGTACTAGTATATGTAACCATTCCCCTCTTTAAAAACAGTATATCCAGTTTTAACGTTTATCCAGTCCCTTGATAATGCAAATAATGCTACAGTTAATAATCCTGTAATGTATCTTTTTATATATATGTGAATATATCTGAGGGATAACTTCCCAGAAATGTGATTGCTAGGTCAAAAGGTATGATATTTCTAAGGTAGTTGATAAATTTTGACAAATTTGCCAAGTATCTCCTATAGAAAATGAAACAATTTTCATTCCCACCACTAATGTATATCAGTAAATTTTCTGTTGATAATCTCGCAGTCAGTTCTAATTCCACAGCATGCTTTCCATGAGATTTCCTTAAATTTCCAAATTATTTCATCTTTTTAGAGCATGTCTGCTTCAAATTTTGCAAATTATTAAAATCACAACTCTTTCTTACATTTCATCCCTTTGAGCAATCCTGTGCTGGACTTCCTTTTCCCACATCCGAATACTTGAATGGTATTCCCTATTCCTAGATGTATATATCCTGTGTGTTCCCATCGTACCCTGTATGTCCACCATCATAACACCTCTCACACATTAATATAATTGTCTGTGTCCTCCTCTAAACTGTAAGTATCATTCCTCTCTTTACAGTTGTTTGAAGTTAGGGAGCAGTCCACGAGACCACTTACATTTTTTTTTTAATTTCTTTTCATTGTAACAGAATTCATTGTATATGCACCATACCCAGTGCTCCATGCAGTACGTGCCCTCCATAATACCCACCACCAGGCTCACCCAACCTCCCACCCCCCTCCCCTTCAGAACCCTCAGATTGTTTTTCAGAGTCCATAGTCTCTCATGGTTCGTCTCCCCCTCCAATTTTCCTCAACTCCCCCTTCTCTCCATCTCCCCATGTCCTCCATGTTATTTCTTATGCTCCACAAATAAGTGAAACTATATGATAATTGACTCTCTCTGCTTGACTTATTTCACTCAGCATAATCTCCTCCAGTCCCATCCATGTTGATACAAAAGTTGGGTATTCATCCTTTCTGATGGAAGCATAATACTCCATAGTGTGTATGGACCACATCTTCCTTATCCATTCATATGTTGAAAGGCATCTTGGTTCTTTCCACAGTTTGGCGACTGTGGCCATTGCTGCTATGAACATTGGGGTACAGATGAGACCACTTATTTTTGATAGCAGTTGCAAGTTCAGGGGACCCCGAGACCACCCTTGGGTTCCATTATTCACTGGAAGGACTCAAAAAGCTAACTGAAAATTGTTAGGTTCGTGGGTGGTTTCTTACAATGAGCAGATACAGATTAAAATCAGCCCGTGGAAGACACACATGAGGCAGAGGTCCAGAAAGTTCCACAAGCAGAGGTTCCAGTTGTCCTCTCCCCACGGGGATCATGGAGAGCACTAACTCTCCCTACAAGGTATATAACAGTACACATGGAGGGGTGCCAATTAGGACCCTAATGTCCAGAGATTTTCTTGGGGTCAGCTATATAAATTTGTTTGGATACCCATGTTGCTGACCCCTGTGTCTAGCCATTCTGGAGGTGGTGCTATACCCCATGACCCAAGCCACCACCCTAAACCGCATGGTTAGTCTGGTATGGCCCAAGGCCCTCAAGCAAACAAGATACTTACCATAGAGATGACCTCCCAGCAGCCCAGGACAAAAGCCAGACCTCTATCTGGGTATGGTAAATTCTTTACTGCATGAGTTGTATCTATATAGTCTGGGAAAGCACCAGAGCATGCTCTAAATGTTCAATAAATATTTTTAAATGAATGAACAGTATTTAATTATATGAATATGACATTTTTATTATTGATCATTAAGATTGTTTCCAAATCTTTGCTGTTAGAATCATGCCCCAGTAAATAGTTAAATGTGTGAATTTAGGACAGTGTTCTAAAGGTGAGATCGTTGGGTCAAAAGACGTGGATACTTGTAAGACTTTTGATTCATATGGTCAAACTGCCTTCTAGAAAGGTTAAAACAGTTTACAGTCCTACCACCATTGAGTAAACATGCCCTCCTGTGAACAGTGTCTCCAGGATTGGTATCTGTTTTTGTT